CGGGCAAGGAAGGTGGGCATCTTCCAAGGAAATCACTACATACTTATCTAAATGGCAGATGGTATAATATTCTGGAGATCGTTTTAAATTTCTGTTCGTCATAACGCGAGCAGACGCGCCAAGCACACACCTATATGACTTGTATATATATCTCAGTAATTACTCAGGTCTATTGAAATTGAGCTCTGTTTATAGAGAAGTAGTTTTGGGCATGGGAGCGTATAGATCACTCACATAGTACAACATCTCCCGACTAACACGATCGGATATGGGCGACGCACACACCCTTAACACAAATGAAAGGTACACACACACACAAGGGAAACTGTAAGTATTTGGAAGACGCAACACACAATGGCATTTATAATAATCAACATACGGGGGCTAGCTGACAGGGCAATCCACAAGTAATATTTGTGAATATGAGTTTTCCTATACGGGTATGCTTACAGTCACTCGGCAGCATCTTTGGTACATTGTTAAAGCTGTTCGGAGATGGGGTAACACTATCATATATGCATACGTCACCTACGGATATGTATATTGGTGACGCAAGTAACATACTCACAGGCCAATCACATACACACAATGACCATTACAAACACAGAACTCAGGCACAACCAACAGATAAGATTAAACGCGCTCTATAAACTCTGCATATAGATAATCGTAGCTTGACTAAAGATTAGCTGTATCCGTGGTAAGATGTAACATAGAATACTATAGGTTAATTGGTAATATGTAAGACTGAGTTCAGAAGGAGTTATGGAATTTCACGCTTTTCACTCAACATAGCTTTGGATATTTATGTATTCATATATATATATATATATACGTCAATGAGTAACAATACTCAACTATATATATATATAGATGGAATATATAACGTATGATACATATATGCATAAGTAGCATATATATGTTATGTATTATATTATATATATATATATATATAGTATATAGTTATATATGATATATAAATGTGGCATATACATAAATAATAGATATGTAAGGCACATCCATATATATACATGGTTTATAAATACACAGACCAATATATATACATGTATGTATACATATATATTATATATATATATATATATATATAATATTTACATAATATTTATATATATATATACATATATATATATAATATAATATATACTAATACATGTATGCTAAGCCGTAAATATACATAAATATATATCAACCATATACTATATATGTAAAGTATATCAAGTATACTATATATATGTATATGTATATATAACATATATGGCTTATGATACCTATACAATATATATACTATATATACAATATGACGCATCAATATTTATATATTATATATATATCGTGTGCTGCACGAGTGTGTGTGTGGGTGTGTGTGTTCAGTGTGTTGTGTGCGTGTGTGTAACACAGCGACACGACACACAGTATGCATGTTACAGTATATATATTAGTTATAGTATCGTTAGTTAGTTGTAGTTGATGTATGTGTATGTATGCTATAGCTATTGCTATAGAAAGTATAAGCTATAATGTATCACGTCATAGCAGAATTATAGTTGTGTTGATATGATACTTATACTTAATAATTTAATTGTTATTATACTAAATACCAATTAGTGAATATACTCGCGAGTGATTAGTACTATATATAGCAGTTTAGATGGAGCATATTCTGATACTATTTGAAAAATCAGTATGGCATATGGTAATCCTTGATTTTCTTGATAATTCAAATAAGATGCATGAAGTATCATGTACAATTCGGTATGTGTTACATGCTATATATTGTATATTCATATGCATCATATATGCTACATATGTTTACATCTATATATTGTAGCCACTGTTATTATCAGCGTTATGTCACAACACGCACATATCCCCATTTCCGGAGTGCCAACTCCACACGCGTACATCTTCTCATAGGTGTTGACATACTTAGGACTTGCCTTATCCCTTGTGCTGGCGTACACATAACAAGAAAGAAATTAAAGGATTGATCTAAGGACCAATTTGAGAACCTCTAGTAGAGGGCCTGACTGTTCCCGCTATGCTTATGTGTACACTCATGTATAGATGTGAACATGTACCTATTAAGTATTAGGTGATAATTACGAGCTTAATTAATAGAGAAATGTATTCCTCCTAGTTGTAATGTCATAAGAGTTTAACCAAGGTTGTAAACTAACCACACATGAGTTGTGACAGTGACTATGATTGTTATTGTATTGATTACAGGTTTGACTGCCTTCCAATAAATTAGTGAAGCAAGTACAACGCAGTGGTGTCAGTCACCTTAACTTACCACAGTTAACCTGAGCGTATGAAACGGCGCTTACACACACACACACACACACACACACACACACACACACACACACACACACACACACACATATATAAATATATATTATATATATTATATGCATATATGTATATATATATATACATATACATATATATAAATTATATACACACACACACACACACA